AGGGGGGGGGGGGGGGGGGGGACGTTAATTATATGTGCTAGCACCCCAACACCAAAAGCAGAGCGCAAGAGAACGAGCTTTTTGTTTATTTTTATTTTTGAATGAATGATTGCATCTTTTAGGACTGTAGCCGGCGCAACAAACTACATCAGACCCAACTTGATAAGCCTCAGGCACAAGGTGGTAGTTGCTGAAGATGCTGTGTATACATGGTTAGTGTTTTTTTTTTTCTTCTATTGGGGTACATCTTAAGAAAGAATGGAAGGGGAGGGAGGGTTCTACTGAATTTATATGGTAGGATAGACGACACGATACGTAGTGTAATTAAATAAATTCTATCCACTTCATGACTTTTGTTCCTTCTTTGTTCGGTTCGCCAGGAACCATCTATTTTCTGCGGCAGGTCGTTCTTGGCGTGGTCATCGCCCTGATCGCCGTCCTGGAACCCATCGGATGATTCGGCCTGCTATCCCGCTTTGGAAGATGCCGGATTCTCCTCGTCTTCCATGAACTGACCCACGGCACTGACTGGTCGGCTCCCCATCACCGCCGTCACCGTCTTTGGGACAGCGATAAAGACAGCGCCTGCACGCTGGGCTTTTGCAGTCAGCGTCCGTTCTTCGGCTCTTCAGTAACGATCTATATTATGCGGAATGTGAGCGCGACATTTTAATAGAAAAAAATATTTGTGCTGCACGGCCGTCGACTGCAATACTGTGTGTCTGCCTGTCTTTGTTTCGTTGTATTTTGCTTAACGCTTAGGCGTGCCATGATGTCAAGCATATGCATAGCACGCGCTATGGTGCTGCCGGATGTTAATCGTTCTCTATCCTGCTCGGAATTTTACTTCTCTTATCATCTTGGCGACACGTGTTCTGGTGTCTCGGAAAATAAGTTTACAAGCATATGGGACCTGAAGAGGGCGAGAACTGGCGTTGCTGAACTTGCAGAGGATAATCAGGCAGCTTCGGTGTTCGACGTGGATATCTTCAAGCCTGACTTGGCTAACATCTTTGTCCTGTTCAGCAGAATTAATGCAATGCAAAAATAAATCAGCTTCTGCCTTAAAAAAAAAAAAGAAAAGGTGCATTTTTTTTCTATCTGGCAAGGCTTACTCGTAATGAAGTCTACAATCGATGAGTTAAATGTTGCATTTAATGAACTGATGAAATCGGTAAATTCAACTCGGCCCAGTATAATAGGGTACAACAACCAAGGAGACTAAGGTTAAAGAGCTCAGGACGGAGGTGTCCCGACTCAAAATTACCGCCTCGCAGAATGCTCGCAGTGTCGTTCAGCTACCGGCGGAGTTGAACGACACCGTCCAGTACAGTCGCCTTCCTAACTTCCAAATCCACGGAATGCCGGTAACTCCCAACGAAGCTTTGATGAATAACATTGCTGACCTCACAAACTAACTGTAATTGTCCGCCTTTCAACCCTCTTAAGCCGTAAATCGTTTTTATGCACAAATTACATGGCCAAAAAGTCAAAACACCCCCGGTCTTGATTATATTGTAGTCAGCTGAAGTCCGTGGAACCTGGTTGAACGCACGAGGCAAACTACAAACCTCTACCGCAGCTGTATATCAATGAAAATCTGACGCTGGTTCAACCGTAATCTACTCTGGCATTCTGAAATCCGCGGCAAGGAGAAACTCTTTAAATATGTCTGGGTTCGCAATGGAAAGATCTTCGATAAGCGAACAGATGGGGCGGGGCGTGCACGTCCGTCCATATCAGTTGTGTGTGAAGAGGACCTTAAAACGGTAAACTAGAGCGATGACAGTGCAGTTCCTTGAGTGCCCCGACATATGTGCGTTCAAAAAAGAGCGACAGTCTGATTAAGGAAGTATTGTTACAGCTGTGCATGTGAGCATACGTATCATAAACAAATACTGGGATAAATTTTTGCCTATTCATGCGAACCTCGGTGAATGCGTCGATTTCTGTGTTTTTATGGAAACTTATAATCCGGAAACATCGTTGAAACCGTTCACCATTAATGGTTTCAGTGAGTTCTTTTTTACCCGCCCCACAGGCAGTGGGAATGGGATTGGTGTTTTCATGTCCTGGATAACCACACAAATGCCTGTTCATTTCAGTCATGCTCAGTCAATGGCGTTTGAGAATAATAAATCTGATTTTATGGTAATGCGCCGCGACTACCGCCATGGACTGGTTTCAACGTCACCTTATGGACATTAATGTAAACAAGGCAAAATTCATATGTTTTCGTACTCCGCTCAAATATCTGAATTTAGATTTTCCTTTTCTTCTAGATAGGTCGAGTTCTATATCTTGCAAACGTGATCCTATGGTATATGTCGATAATGTAAAATATCCTGGAATAATATTCGATTGCGGTCTGACATGGAATGCTCAGCTGATTTGCCAAATTGAGGAGTACTTATTGCCTTTTTTTATAACACAAAATCGCTTATGCCTTTTTCAGTTCGTAAAAGAGTCGCCCAGGCAGTTGCATACAGCGTGCTAAGATACGGTGTTGCTGTATTTGGCAACTGCTCGGGGTTCTGGCATGAGAAAAATGATTGTAGTTTGAAAAATATTTTGAAAAGTGTGTCTTATGGTTTGCGAATTCCCGATGTTACCGAATTGCCATGTCTTCGCACCCTATCTACTCAAACAGTAGTCTCGCGTTACTTCTGATAAAACAAATTAAAACAACAAAACAAAAAAACATCTCTTCGTTCGTTTCGTTTGTAAGAGACCTTTAAAATGCCTTACATCCGACCTAGATACGGCAAGTATACGCGTGAGCTCTACGTGCCTGAGATCTTTAATAGTTTGCCTTCTGAAATTCGGCAGGCTAATTCATTGAGCGAGCTGAAGACAAGAGATCATTTTACCTTTCAGGCAGAAATATACTTAAATATGTATTTTGTGCTCGACTGCTCTGCACCGAAGTAGTCATCGGGCTTTGTATTTTCTGCAACTGTTTCTTTCTGTTTTTGAAAACTGCTTTGTGACTGTGTCGCTTCTACTACAGCTGTGTGTTCTCGAACATTCTCTGTTTTTTTTTTTTTTTTCTTTTGAACTTTCGGGTGGGCAGCGACATGTTGGCCACTGTTGGCTCTTTATTGCCCACGCACTATTGTATGTAAGTATGGATATACTTAAATATAATTTATTGTTGGTATTATTATTATTATTATTACTACTTTTAATTTCTCTTAGTACAGCATTAAATGTAATTTACCATCGCGCTGACTTCAGTGATGTTACTTGTACATTGCTGATAAAACCTCTTTTAAATGTCGTGTTGCTTCTTCTTCTTTTTTTCTTTTTTTGTAATCATATTAGTAGCGAAGATGACTATGTATTAATTTTCGAAATAGGGCCATGCCAGCTAGTTTCGACTTCTGCGAGAGAGCTTTGATGTCGAGTTCCGGAATGCATTCAGTTGGCAGGTTTGGTCAATTGGTAAACGTTGTACACGATGGGATATAAATATCTCCAATAAGGCGAAATAAGAAAAGGCCCCAACGCGACAAGATACTGCTGTGTTCGCTGCTGAAACACAAATATTTACTCACATTGGATCGAATGAGGTCGCAGAGTCACTGATGTCTCTGAAGAATTTGTTTTGCTGCGCGTCCGACGTTCGAGGTTTGCAAATTCAGGCAAGCTGCTTCTCTAGTGCATATATATCCGTTCATTTAGGCCACGGCACCGAAGTGCCAGCTGCGCTAAAACACGCGGCCCAGGTTCAACATGGCGGCTCAACTGCTTACTCAGGTACCTACCGAGCCATCCAGATTTCTTCTTGTTTTTGGCTCTGGCGTGCTGCTGTGGCAGGCGTAGCCAGTGTTATACGTGTTATTGAAAGAAAAGTAACAGAATATGTCACACGTTACCTGCAAATAAAAGGAACGCGTTGCCTTTTTTGATAAAGAGTAACCCATGTTACTTTTGCGTTACTTTTTTTTTTTAAATTACGAATTAACACGTGCTACAGTTTTGACGGTGTAAGTATAAGGAATAAAGCACGGAGGGCAACCAAGTCGGAGAACTTGATTGTCCTGTGTTGTCCTCCATATTTTATTTTTTCGATTTTAAGTATTCATTTTCAACTGGCTCGCTTTTACCAGTCCAGGTATGCATAAGAGCCATATTTCGAAAAACGCTATGTTCCTACAAAAACTGAACTAATTACTTCAGCTTTTTTTACGGTTTCTCATAAATACTCACGAGAAAAAACTCAAAGAAAAACGCAACAAACTCAAACATTTATATAGCTTAGCGCCTAAAAACACGCGAAAGAAATTCAAAAGTAACCTTTTTTTTCAGGATTTGGTGAAGGAACGGGTAACGTAGATACGTTCCCCGTCATTTGAAATAAGTAACGTAAATACGTTACCCCTTACTGTTTTGAAAAAAAGTAACGACGACGTTACTACGTTTCCGAAGAACAGTAACTCGTTAAAGGTAACGAACGTTGCTCGTAACCCTTTACTGGCAACGCATGTATAATGAAATAAGAACTACCGGCTCTTTTCTAGTAAGTCAGCTCAGCTTTGTTACGTAATGTAAGGATTCGTACTCCGGTTAATCGTATTTGCCTTCATTTAATGCCATCTCAAGATTTGTTTGCCTCTTTTTTTCTATTTTCGACAATGTTCCTCTGGCAACACTACTTTTGTTTTTATTTTTGCTAAGATAGTATGGAATAATATTTCCAACTGCACTAGGATCAGTGATGCTGTTTAGACCTTGATTTTAAATAATCTTGTAATATTTTTCTAATTCTTGTTTCTTCATTATATTAGTAGTTAGAGCACTTTATAGCTCCTTCGGAGCAGAGTAGCGTAAAGTCCCTCGATGTTTTTTCACTGCGTTTAACAAGTACCGTCATTCTTTGCCGCGCCGACATCTGTTTCTATTGGAGGAGAGCGATGTCACGTGATTTCCGGAATTGTCGCCACTTCCGTCCGCCATTTGCTTCCGAGGTGCTCGGCTGCTCCGTCCGCTACCGTGTTTCGTGATACTCGCCGACGACTTTAGCTCGACGTCCTGGTGTTTCTGGACCGTAATGAGGCAAGTGAAGTAGTAAGCGTTTGTGTTAGATGACGGGGTGTTGCGCTTTTGCGTGCAGCCAGAGTTCTGGTAGTGGAAAAAAGTTGTTCGCCTTTCCTTTCGGAAAACCGATCTGAAGAGGCAGAAGGCATGGCTCCACATGATTGGGAGGAAAAACTTCGTCCCTACCAGAAGCAGCAAGCTTTGTGAGGTGAGCATTTCTGGGCTAGTTACCTCTTCCACAGACGTTCACATAGGTACACATGCAATGTTTATCCTGACGCGCCTGACTGCCGAACTCGGTTTCAGCTGAAATGCGGCCTCGGTGCTCTGCCGTTTTAGCCTGTTGTTTTTCACTCGGAAATCCGGTTGTTCGCCGGCAAAGTTTTTCGCGTAGTCTGAGTTTTTAAGAGACAGGATATGAATGGATGAAGCCGCCGATTGGCCGCTTCAGCTGTGAGTGTCTCGCAGTGAACCTCTAGGAAACACGAAAAGCTACTACACTGTTAGCAAAAATAACACGCCCAGACGTGTAAACCGTTGTCCCATAGCGGACACGTCGAAACGTGTTCGTTTTACACGAGGCCATCTGTGTTTTTCGTCTACACATGAGGTGCTGTGTAAACTTAACACGCTACACCGCGTGTCTGCCTTCCGCAAAAACGTTTCGAGCGTGTTCCTTATGAAACATGGCGGCCAGCGGCCGAGAACAGGCGAGAGACGAGCCCAGCGAGCCGCGCGCCTTTCAGCCGAATTGAAAGCACACAGGGCGCGTTAGTTCTCGTTCGATGTCTTTTATACACAGTAAAAATGTCTCCAAGCGGCGGACGTAGCTACTTGCAAAGGTACGTACGTGCGTTGTCGGCGGTCGGCGGTGTCGGTAGCCTCAACGAGCCGCTAGACAAAAAATAAAACGAATGCCGAACTCACATGGATAAATAACTTGAGCAAACTATTTAGAATCGGGCGGTAACTTGCGCCACCTATCGAGATTTCTAGTAGCCTGTATTTAAAAAAAAACGAGTCTGTTAACACTACGACCGACTACGACTACACAGCAACCCCTCATACAACGCAGGCGACACCAGTACCACGTGCTACACAGCACCAACATGTATACAAACACAACAACCGACACTACGCCCGACACTTCCTACTCGATTACCATTTTTCCCCGCGGCGCATATAAGCTTGACATGTGCGGGTGAGCTCTTCGGTCGCTGACCATTACAGATTTATAGAAGAATACACAAAACACGGCGCAATGGACAGCCGTGTGTTAAAACTGTTTGCATTTAAAAAGTATGGAGGTAAAATCTCTAATGTTAGTCCGTTGCAATAAATAACGATATGTTAACAATAAATCTTAAACCGGTCATGAAAAAGTTCAATTTTTTGTTATTTTCTTGCTTAACCAGTGTTATGAGCCGTCCGACTAGCTTGAATCAGATAGGAAAACAAATTATTGGGATTTTGTCATTACGTATACAATAATAAATGGAAATGATCCTTGCGCAAAGTATTTTTTATATATTTTTGTGAAGGACATCCGGACATCCGCCCAACACTTCACTTCCGCTAGTTGCAGTGGTTGCAGTACGGGAGCAGACGCCTTCACTTTTGGGGCGTTTTGATGCAGTTTGTTGTCGTATGTCGTGTCGGTGTCAAGTGGAGCGGTAAGGCTTGGGAGTTTGGGACCGGTGTTATTCGTGAACACTGGTGTGGGGCGCTGATGCGTCTATTTTTTATACTGCCACCACCCCGAAATTTGAAGATACACGGGCCCGTATAGCAGTGCATTATGCTGAATCTCGAGCTCCTTCTCTGTTGACGTCGCTTTCCTGGTACCACTCGTGGATACTGCAAGTGTTTAAACAGTGTGCACCGTCTCGCCTACATCCCCGGTGACGTACTCGACCTGTTGAAACTGATTGCTTCCGTCATTTTAGAGTACGCAAGGCAGTTATCTCGTTGGTATGGTTTCGGTTATAAAAGCAAGGCAAAACGCTCGTAGTTCCCGCCTTCAGTACACGTTGGACATCTTCCACACTTTGACACCGGATAACTGAATGAACGAGGATTTACATTCACTTCCGAGGTTACTCTCGCTGCTTCCTCACCGTTGAGCAGCAGGATGAGCTGGCGACAAGCCGCGGATGAAAGGCTTGAGCATCAACAGCCCAAGCGCACTCGGTGCCGATGCCGGCGACGCGGGTTTCTGTCAACCAGGAGGCCAGCACAAACCGTGACCGTTCCAGCTCTTCGTCATAACACGGTGTTGCACAGAGCAGGGTAAAATACTGCTACACGGATCACCGAAGCAAACGCACTGCTATCTTATATCTTGGCTTGTGATTGCGCCTTTGTAGTAGATCATCTTATTCGTTTTGCTGGAGAGACGCAAACGACGGGCATAACAAAATCGCTTGCATATTCCGCATATCTCACGAAAGCATTTACCCTGTCACCTTGCGAAAAGCGCGAAACACGGAGTCCGCACCGTCCTAAGCTTCCCGTTTTTTACCTGCTTTAGAGCAGTTTGTACCTGCTAGTAGATATGCCTACTGAAACTGAAACAGGGCAGAGCCAGAGAGAAAGAGACGAGGTTGGGAAAGCTTTCTCGCTCTCCAATTTCTCAACTCTCAAGTGATTGTACTATAATGAATGCACCAACGCCCCTTCCAAAATAAAGAAAGAGCACTACGTTCACAAAGTAAAAAATGGTCTCAGTGCATGCATCTGTGGGCAGGTAGGAAACCTTGCCCCAATTTATTCACGCCGCATGATTGACGCAACAAACTCGTTGCAGGACCGAATCAACTACTCGAGCGGTGTGCGTCGCTGTGCAAACGCAGTCCAACACGAAGCATAAAAAACGGCAGATTTAAGACAACAATCCGGAGTCCATTATTCAATTAAAACGACGTAATTTTGTTGAAAACGCCCGCTGCTTCTTACTCACGGTATGTGTCGGGATACTTACACAGTTTGAAACGGAACGAAGGAAGATTTACTTTTAAAAACGCTCGCTGCGTCCTCCCGGACCAGCTGGACCGCATCAGGTGACGACGACGGGACTATACCCGTTGAATCTCCACCCCGCAACAAACAATTTGCGCTCCGTGTTAAAAGCGTGGTTCAAACAGACCCGGAATACAAAGCACCGCACCACACACGACGAACGTTTCAGCTCTTTTTCGCATCGCCGGGTTGCACCAAACAGAACGAGATCGCCGAAGTCAACGCCGTGCTGTCGTGAACCTTGGCTTGTGGTTGCGAACTCGTGGACCCTGTGGCTCCCTTCGCTTTCAAAACACACACGACGATTACGAATGGTACTTTCCGTCTTCCAGGAACATCACAGGGGAACTTCTCCGGTCACGTCTTCACTATATGCTCGCAAACTCCGAAGCTCTATGCGAAGCTTCTCGCGTCCCGTCAATCCAAAACAGTAGTGGCACCATGCGCACTTGCCAGATTTTCTCCGGTCAAACAAAAACAACGAAAGCCAACCGGCGCTTGCTTCCAGCGTACATCGGCGTTGCGCTTGCGCCGTGGCCAGATCGCTTGCAGTTGAAGGTTGAAGCAAAAACGAAACCAACTGCAATGTCACGTGTTCACATCGGGGACAAGCTTTTTATATCTATTTTAACTGTTTGGAACGAATAATTAGACCCATGACTTTATTTGTGGTGTGTAAGAAACTGTTATCAAGACCCCTAAACTAAATACAAACATGGGCGACATGAGGGAAGCCGCATTGCCATCGACCAGAAAATGGCGGGGCGGCGAGCACGGTAAGGGCGGGTTTCGCCGACGTCCTGCGACATGGCGCAATTGCTTTTGGGGCATATCTGTCTCCGAGACATGTTTTTTTCCGCGGCATTTGTCTCGACGGTCCTTTCTTAGTGTGTCCCCAAGCATTCCGGTGCTTCGATAGCCGGCAATGCCGCGGTCGTCGCCGGGGGCGATCCGTGTTATCGAGGTCGGCTACACGGTTATGCGTGTATGACCGAACCAAAACACGTTTTTTACAACCTCGCATGATTTCTGAACGAATTATCCGTTACTGCTGCGTAGCAAGCGCACATACGGTGCGTGGACGACTGACGAGACCAGCGCTGGGGGACTGGAAAAGAACGTTTATTCGTCCGTGAACAGAGTATTTAACGCAAGCAAGAGAGAGGGAGTTGGGAAGGGAGAAAGGGCAAGGAAAGACATAACGCTGCTGTTGTTGATACGTCACACGCCTGGCTCAGGCGGCGGGAGATAGCATATCAAGATGATTTACAACATTTCTCCTCCCTTAGTATTGAAGACGCTGTACAGGCTTCCTTTCCCGAGTAGATCGTCGCAAAGCTTGAGGGGGTTTCTGCGCCTTCTGGATAGGCGGCGACGCTTGTGCCGGCGCCACCTGGTCTGTAGGCTGCTCGTTCAAATCGCCTTCGTTGTCGGTCGGTGCGGGCGCAGCTGCAGCCGAAGGGCTCCCCTCGTCTTGGTCTCGAACGCCGCTCCGAGCGGATGCCGGGCTCGGCCTGGAACGCACTTGGTCTATGTGACGTCGAACCACCCCAGTAGGCGTTTGTATGGTGACCATGCGTGACCCTGTAGTGGACTGCACTTTCCCTGGTGTCCATTTCTCCCCCTGGCCGTAGTTACGGGCGTACACGGCTGTGTCGGGCGGCAGTGTCCACTCTTCCGTCTCCTGGGTTGACCCTGGGAAAGGTGGGAAACACGAGTCCAAGCGCGAGCGGATCAAGTAGCCGAATAGAAGTTCGGAAGGGGATTTTCCCTCGTGGCACGGCGTTCTCCTGTAGTTGAAAAGAACTTTGACTAGCTTCTCTTCAAGTGTGCCTTCGCTCATCTTCTTTAGCGCTTCCTTAATCGTACGAACAGCTCGTTCAGCAAGTCCGTTAGACTGTGGGTGATACACAGCCGTACGTAGGTGTGCGATGTTATTGTTCTTAGCAAAGATGGCGAATTCTTCGCTAGTGAACTGCGTGCCGTTGTCCGTAACTATTGTGCGTGGAACACCGAATCTGGCAAAAATGCTGCGCAAGCTGGCAATCGTAGATGACGTGCTTGCCTGCCTCATGGGCACGGCTTCAATCCACTTAGTGGCAGCATCCACGACTACCAGTATCATGCTGCCTGCGACCGGCCCGGCGAAATCGGCGTGGAGCCTCGACCATTTTTCCTTAACGGCTGGCCAACTGATGGGTTGAGCAGAGGCCGGCATAGGCAGGTTTTGAACGCAATTGTGGCACGACGCTGAGAGGTGTTCTATCTCTCGGTCTAGTCCCGGCCACCAGAATGCCGATCTGGCAACCGCCTTCATGGCCGAGGACCCTTGATGCGTTTCATGCAACATGTGTAGTACCCGTTCTCGTGCTTGTGTGGGAACAACAACTCGATGACCCCAGTATACCAACCCGTGAGCCACAGATAGTTCCAACCGGCGTTCCGAGAATGGCGCCAATCCCGCGTCCTTTACATGTGTAGGCCAGCCGTGCTTCGTATACTCCACAACCTTCGTTAGTAACACGTCCTGCGCAGTTAGCTGTTTGAGTTCCTCGACAGACACAGTGCCATAATCGAAACTTGCCAGCGCGTGAACATACTCGGGGGGTTCGCTCCTTGCTGGTGGTTCTGGAGTGTGCAGCGGTAGCCGGCTGAGTGGGTCGGCGTTTAGTAGCAGCTTACCGGGCGAATACTGAAGTTTGTAGCGAAATCCACCGAGGTAGAGAGCCCAGCGCTGTATTCGGGCTGCGGCCAACGCCGGCGTAGGCTTGTCCGCTTTCAGCAGGCCCAGGAGCGGCTGATGATCTGTGACCAAGGTGAAATCTCTGTTTAAGAGGTAGTCGCGAAATTTCGACACCCCAAAAACCAGAGCCAAGGCCTCACGTTCTAGCTGAGAGTAATTCCGCTCGGCACTGGTCAGCGTTCGCGACCGGAAGCCAATGGGCCGGTTTACTTTTCCGACCGTATGAAACAGCACTGCACCGATGCCATGCGGAGAAGCATCACACTCCAGTTTCAATGGTTTCGCGGGGTCGTAGTGAACGAGTACCCCTGCCGCAAGTAAGCACTGCTTTGCGTTGGCAAAGGCGGCCTGCTGAGCTTCTCTCCAGACCCAACGCACATTTTTTCCCCAGCAACTGGTACAAAGGTGCAAGCACGGATGACATATTCGGCAGGAACTTGGAGTAATACGACAGCATGCCCAAAAACGAGCGAAGTTCCTGCACATTTGTTGGGTTAGGAGCCTGGGCGATTGCTTCCACATGTTTCTCAGTGGGATGTAGGCCGTCTTTGTCGATTTGGTGCCCTAAATACGTGACTGAAGGCTGACTAAATTTGCATTTGTCTCGCCGGAGTTTTACACCGTGCTCGCGGAAACGCTGCAGTACCGCTCGCAGAGTATCGTTACTTCCTTGTCGCTCCGCAACCAGCACATCATCGAGGTAAGCTTGCACGCCTGGTAGTCCCTGCAGGACTGTTTCGATTTTCGTTGAAAGATGGCTGGGGCAGACGCTATGCCAAAAGGCAGCCTCTTGAAGCAAAATAGCCCTCGATGCGTGTTGATTACGCATAGCTTCTGTGATTCTTCGTCAAGCGGTACTTGGTTATACGCGTCACGAAGATCGAGAGTACTGAAGTACTCTCCCCCGTTTAGGCACGCAAACATGTCGTCAATCACCGGCAATGGGTACTGCTCCAGTTTGCATACAGGATTTAACGTGATCTTGAAATCGACGCAAATCCGAACTGTTCCATCTTTCTTTAAGACAGGCACAATGGGCGTAGCCCACTCCGCATGCGCAACCGGTGATAACACGCCAATTGCTACCAGTCTGTCTAGTTCTTGAGAAGCCTTATCACGGAGAGCAAAAGGGATGGATCGTGCCTTACAGAACTTTGGTGTAGCTCCCTCCTTGAGTTGAAGGTGTACAGGGGGACCGCTGATGCAGCCGAGTTCCGCACTGAAGACGTCTTGAAACTCGTTGGCGATGTCGTCCGCGGCCGGGAGACTCGTTGGCGATCCGGCTTCCGCAGTCATGTGAAGAATAGGTGACCCTGCGTTGCTCAGCTGAAACAGTAGATCCCGCCCGCATAGACTAGGACCGGGGCAATTCAATACAATTAGGGGGCACTCTACTACGGCACCCTTGTAGGCTACCTTCATGTCCAATTGTCCTAGGACGGGGAGCTTGCCAAGATAACAGGACAGCTTGACACCTGAAGGTTGCAATGGCGGCCATCTCTCCCAGTACTTTTCATAAATTTCGCGGGGCACAACACAGACGGGCGACCCCGTGTCTATCAGCATTGGCATGTCGACACCGCACCACGTGAATGTCCTGTGAATGGGGGGCTCTAATTGCCACTTCCGAGAAGAAGTCGAAGTCCAGAGGTGCATCGCTTCGTCTACGTTCTCCTCCGCACAGTCTTCCGCCATCGCCAGTGCTCGTCCCCGCATGCCTTGTGTCCACGCCGTTTCGCGTTTCCTCGGAGCGTCGCTCGAGCACATTTTCGCAAGATGACCCGGCCTACCACAGTGATAGCACCTTCTCTTGGCCCAGCGGCATGCGTGGCTGTTGTGCTTCTTACTTCCGCAACGCCCGCATTTTAGAGTCGGCTCGTTCGTCAACACGCGCTGCGCGTCAACCTTCAGTACGGTGGTTGTATCGCCCGGTATCTTATTTGCGTCGTCATCTGCCGTTTCGGCTGATAGTGCTATCGCTTCGGCCTCTTCCAAAGTCAAGTTTGCTTTTGCCAAAAGCTGTTTTTGCAAGGCCTTTGATCTGACGCCACAGACTATACGGTCGCGGAGCATTCGTTCCAGCATGCTGCCGAAATTGCAGTTGTCTGCAATGCGTCGGATGTCGACAAGGAAATGTTGTAAAGGCTCACCTTCGTGCTGACATCGATTGAAGAACCGGAAGCTTTCGGTGATCTCGTGGCGCTTTGGGTCGAAATATTCATTCAATGTTGCAACTACTTCTTCGTAGGTCAGACTGTTGGGTTTCTTCGGAGCGACTCGTCCCGCTAGGATCTGCACAGTCTTTGTGTTTAACGCTGCTACGAGCAACGCCCTTTTTCTCGCTGTGTCGGTAACTCCCGTTGCCTCGAAATAAGCTTCTGCCTTGATGACGTACGCTCTCCAGTTGTCCCTTTCGCCGTCATACTCGGGAAGATGGTGGTGAGCCAAGGCTGGCGTTGTCATTGCTGCAGGTTCTTGAAAGGCCGTACCGTGGCTTTGCTCGCCGTGATCTTCTTTTAGTGCATGGGTTCCTGTCTTGCTCGTCGCCACTGCTGCGTAGCAAGCGCACATACGGTGCGTGGACGACTGACGAGACCAGCGCTGGGGGACTGGAAAAGAACGTTTATTCGTCCGTGAACAGAGTATTTAACGCAAGCAAGAGAGAGGGAGTTGGGAAGGGAGAAAGGGCGAGGAAAGACATAACGCTGCTGTTGTTGATACGTCACACGCCTGGCTCAGGCGGCGGGAGATAGCATATCAAGATGATTTACAACAGTTACTCATCGTGTAAATTTATGGTAATTTGTGTAAATAGCGTGTTTTTCACCCCAAATATTCGCCAAATACACGGGACTTGCTAACAGTGTACCGAGGACAATATGAGCCGAAAACGCCTTTCATGCTTCTTTGGCTTACCACCTGTTTTTGAGAGAGCTGTAGTCCAAACTAGGAATAGAAAGCGAAGTTGAGGAATGATGGAGCTTGTGGGAGTCGCAGAAAGAGGTTGGATCGGGTGTTCCAGCTCGTACTGTCCGCGCGCGGGGAGGGCGTACAATGCGCGGCACTGTTAGCGCGAACAGAGCATCGGTGTCTCTACGTATTTTACTTCCATGGAGTGTTGCTTTGCACCAAATTTTACCGCTTAGGTTAGCGTCCCAAATTAGCCCTTCCCACCGCACTAGCTGTTTTGTTGACGAATTTTTGATTCCGATACAGAAAAAAGCGGCGATCACTCTTCTGTACTAACAGTGTGACGCTCTCTACCTCCAAACAAAGTCGAATTTTTTAGTGTTCTCAGTGCACTGTCCCGTGAATTGCGAGTTAGCCCTGTTCATTCTCGACAGGACCATTTTGCACCGGATCAGTTTGAACCTCAGATCTGGCAGAGCCATGGCATTAAAAAACTTAAACCAGACGCTGTCCCCACCAAGTTTAGCCATAGGCTGCCAAAGCCAGTTCAAAGACCACCGCGAGAAAGGGAAATGTTCAAGATAAGTTGACACAGTCAGAGATATTGAATTTGCAGTCACTTGGTTGCTAGATTTGGTATTAAAGTGCTGCCTATTTTAAGCAGGGGAGCCAATGCAGGAGGAAGACAGCATCCAGACGCTTCAATCTCTGAATTCAACTGCTGCTCTCACAGGTGTCGTATTTCCTCCTTCACAAATTGAGAATATTCTTGTCCAAGGTGATGAATTAATGCAAGTAGCATTGAACTGCATACTGACAAAGTTTACAATTTCACCACAACCCTTGCCCACGCACACAGAGGCACAATCCAGCAAAGTGCAAAACTGCGACCAGGAGTATGTGCCTCAGGCGGGCCCTCCAGTTGGTGAGTCACACGCAATTCCAGCATTTAGTAGCCGGGCACACGCAGCGACATGCAGTCACAATCATCCTTAACTCGAGCGTGTGCCAGGCATACTCTGGGCTAATTCTTCTGTTCCTTCTTTTTCGGCCTGTACTTGCCCATCTCAAATGTGGTATGTGCTTTCTTGGGCATTCCTGCAACAATTGACCATCCTGCCATGCGTATATGTGCAGTATGTACCCAGGACGTCATAAAAAGAGTATTGGAATTAATGTCAGCATGCTCTTCTGTGCTTTGGGTAAGTGTTGATATGCACCATACATGCGTCCCTGCCAGGAGCGGGTGCAAACATTTCCTGAGGGGGGGGGGAGTCAGGTGTTGGTCAGCGTACCATACGTTTAGGAACCCCCTCCCCCTCGTTTCACGTCCTAAATTTTACACATGCAAAAATCAAGAGGGGGGTCAGGACATCCGGACCCCCCCTCTAAATCCGCCCCTGGTCCCTGCTGTAATGAACAGCGTGAGTGGAATTTAACTGCCTGCTGATAAAAATCCCGGCTTCAGCACGAGCCTTGCCCATACTCACAGCCGCCCACTCCAGCGAGATGCAAAGCTGCGACTGGGAGCTTGTGCCCAATGCGGATGCTGCAGTTGCTGAGTAACATGATGGCCAGACACAAATACTGCATGACATTGTTAGTGCGAGTACAACTGCGGCACTCTTTGCATTTTACTTTGAATTAGTAAATGCTGGCACCAAATAATAGGGTGCAACTTTGTGCCCCATATGAACATTTTTCATCCCTTGTTTGCATTAACAGTGTCGCACTATGTTAGGTCAGAACCATCCTTAACACCAGTGGGGTGAGGCGTACAAAATTCATGCCATAGACCGATCTCACCAGCCAGTTCGACTACGCGCCATCGCTGTCGCAAGGCGTTGAGGGAACTTCAGTCTTTCTGCACGTGCCCGAAACACTGGAACTCTGCGCGTGAGACAGCACAAGCCGTTTCGGGCACCACCGTCTACCTATTGTGAACTAAAGTTATGGCGGCTTCATGCCTGCGCAGAACGTTTGGTGAGGTGGGTCTATTGGTGGCAGGACGACAACAATTTCTTTCTTTTTGTCTCTATTGGTCCCTCTCAAAACAAATGCATTTCTGTGACCATTGACTACTCTGCCATACAAATGTCAGCTGCATGCACCATATTGTGGGGCTTCATTTTGTGCCTTCAAAATTTACAGGTTCACTGCAAGTCTCGGTACGAAAATCGAACATGGTAGGCTCCATCCTAATAAGAACTGTTGGTCAGCGCTCTGTGCTTAAACAAAGTAAGTCAATGCCAAAGGGTGCTATATTGCTTTTGCATGAAATTACACACCGAACATATAAGTGCTTTATGCCCATTCTCGATTAATGCTGCAGGGAGCAACTCCCTCCACTATTATGAGCATTCCTTATAAAAGTACAAATGACAGCCGTGTGTAGAAGTGAGCGACAGAACTGACGCTGGCTGTTCTCTTTGCTCGATACTCAGGAGCGGTTCCCTCATTCCTGGCAGCAGGCTCCTCCGTCCAGCCATGTACACCGCAGGGGACAACTGCCTCAAAGGGTGAGTCGTTTCCCTGATTGAATGGCAGCCATGTGCAGAAGTGAACGACAGGACTGATGCTGGCTGTGCTCTTTGCTCGCTACTCAGGTGCGGTTCCCTCATCCCTGGCAGCAGGCTCCTTCTTCCAGCCAGGTACACCGCAGGGGACGAGTGCCTCGAAGGGTAAGGCATTTCCCTGAACGAATGACAGTCGTGTGTAGAACTGAACGGTAGGTCTGATGCTGGCTGTGCTCTTTGCTTGCTACTCAGGTGCGGTTCCCTCATTTCTGACAGCAGGCTCCTCCGTCCAGCCATGTACACCGCAGTCACGTACACCACCCCTGGGTCCAATAGGTCAATTCTTGGTGCTCCCCTTATTCGTCATCGGTTGCCCAGATTCCTCGCTAAAAAGTAATCACTTAATCAACATCAGTGTTCTCGTCCATCTCCTTCTGGTCTTCATCAAGTTTCCGGTAGAAGGCAGACCGATTGAGCTCGAACAGCTTGTTCGTTTTCCGATACTCAATTTGGTTTGCAGTAGTGACCGGTTTTTTGTGAAAGACTGCCCCTTCCTCTTCGATCTGGTTCTCAAGCTTATTCAACTGGTCCTTGTTGTTAGAGTGGTACTGGTTGGCTCTGCAAATTCGTTTTAATGCTCTCGAGGGAGCCTTGTTCTGTTTGACTGGTGATAATTTGCAGCTGTTGACTAAGCTCCTTTATCTTTATTTTAATGGCCTCCTTTCAGTTCAACTTCCTTTTGTCACCTCCTCATATAACAGCTGGCAAGCACAGATCAAATCATTCAGCTCTGCTAGAATATTCACCTTCTTTTCCAGCTCGATCCCGATGACCTGATAGTTTACTTCCTGACTGTATACCTTTCTTGTTGTCTTTCAGTCAGTTTGGTGATTAAGGGCCAGCTCAATGTTACTGGCCAGCAGATTCTTTATATTGGTGTACAGTTTGCTGTTTGTTATGGTCGCTGGCAACGGTCATTCTCTTTCTTCGGCCGCCTGACCACTGCCCGATTGAGTAGGCTGTTGTTGATTTTTGCACTGGGTATGCTTGTTTTTCATCGTTGTCGACGTTACATATTGGTTATGCTTCCGATTATACTTGATTGTTATTTCTGGCCACCAACCATTGGGCATCCGTCCATGTGGTCCTTTACTTCGCCTGATCACCAGGGCCAACCATCTTTCTGGTGTTGTCGTTTCCCTGTCGGCTCGCCTCACAATCGCCGCAAAAGCCACTTCTCTGTCACTGAAAATTCTCATCATCATCGCCATTCAGGTCGGTTGGTGGACATCGCCGGTTGAGTTGGCACTTTTGTTGTCATCGGCAATGGATGCTGGGGTTCGTGCTGAGTGCGTCAGTGGCCTTTGCACTCGCGAGACGTCGTTGATTTCGGAGGAATTTTCAGTTCCAACGCCTGGAGAATTTTTATTTAGCGTTTCCATCCCTGTTTGGCAGTGACACAGTCATTGGTTTTCCGATAAACACCAGAAAACCAGTATCTCGGCACTCACAAAATTGGAAACACAACCACCATGGACATCTTTATCTTTTTGAAGTGCTAATAGGAGAAAGGGAGGACACACTTAGATGAGGAGAAAGACAAGGGCTTGATCACATGCAAGAAAAACATTCATGGCTTCTTCTCTACTGTAAGAGTGCTGGTAGAGTGGGCTGGAGGGGTATGGTGTGCTCATTTTCTGCTATGGCATAGTAGGCTGGAAGTCATGCTGTGGGTGCTCTTCTTCACACTTCCATCCTGGATTACTAAAATGGAGCGAAGTAGGCAATGAGCACACATCCCCCTCCAGCTCACCCTAGTAGCTGTTTCTTTTTGTGTTATCCTTTTTTTTAAGCATGTTCTCCTAATCTCCTGTGGGATGACTTGTTCGACTGCAACATTAATTACTTCCTAAAAAGATCTTGAATAAAAAAAATAAAAAAAATCTGCGTTGTCTTATCCAAGACACTTTCTTATCTTCACTACCATGAATACACAAACTGCATACATATCATAACATGTGGCAGTTCAATTAAATTACAACAAAGTTGGGCTCTTCCCATATTTACTATTTATGTGCTTTGCATTTGCATGAACTCAATTACATTAATTATATCTTACTGCACTGCTCATGAGTTTCAACACTTGGCTTTTGAGATATACAGTATATATAATCTCACGACAAGAGGTGAAATAAACAAAAATGTCTGCACAATGCATGTGCTTCGTATTGTGTTGTCCTTCCTTCCCCCAGTTTCGGGGGTTTTGTTTAAAAAATATCTACGTGGATGTTACGGTGGAAGCTAGGCAGAAAAAAGTAGACGGAGACATTAAACACGCTCATAACGAATTCCTTGAACGCGATCTAATAAAATTGGTCTTGGATTCACCGTTTAAGGTGGCGAAATAATAAAAGTTGTACACCACATTTCTTCACTGCACGCTGAAGGTATGCTATCCAGCAATCAAAAACAGCGAAAGTTGCCAGCTGGAATCTTTCACAGAGTTATTTAAGACCAAACACGGCTCCGCAATAGAGGTTCGAGGACGAGATTGCTCGTTATCGCATGTGGAGATAACACGTGCATTGGTGTAACTTCACGCAAAATATTGTTTGGGACTGGTGAGTTAAGTGCTGTAAATTCATCCGCACGGATCTCGCACCGTCCAAACTCGTCAAGGTCACTACTTTGCACGACATTTGTTTTCCATCCAAACACTGCTACTAGTACTTATAACAAAATGCGTGTTGAAGTCATGTAGATACACTCCAAAATAATGAGTTCCAGACGCGTTTGCGTCTACACCGTGCACACGTTTGCGTAGCATTACCAACGCTCGCCACGAGGGAGAATGGTTGCAAACAAAATAGAGTTCTCAGAATAGCTTAACCATGCGGCTCTATTGACGACGGAATGAAATTTTCACAAGGCATTTGTCTTTATTACAAATATAAATAGTTTATTGTAACGCAGGCGCGCACATATCTAGCATCGCCGAGAGCATTGCTCGCGAAAGCTCTCGCTGCGGAGGGATTGCGGAAATATTAATATATATATGTGCTTTTGCGGAAATAACAGCTTACCTTCGATTCACGTAAGTAACCCGATGATATACAAATTAATTTCACGCGCTGGAATTTACCAAAACAAGGAAGACTACACTACTGCTAACCATATAACAACACAACGCAACCGCCCTCCCGTCTGACGTTAGGAAGCGAATGGCGGCGCTAGAAAGGGAGAGGAGAAATTTTTGGGGGAAAGAGGAATCGTAGATGGAAAGGAGGAAGGTTGTCGCTACCTGTAAAAACGAAAAAATATCCAGGGACGTTAGAGTAGCGCAGAGCCGTGTATTGGGAGAGTTTGGCCAACAGGCGGAGCAAAGGCCGCCGCCAGCGCCGAATATTCCCCCCGCGCTTAGAGCGTGAACTAAATTTGTGACACAGCGTGGACCAATCAGGAGACCGCGACGTCAGAATATTGCAAACGACATTCAAAGCGTGAAATAGAGGCGTTCAATCTCGGCCTCTCTGCTCCATCTCACAAATGTCGGCAGTGAAGACAAAGGTACAGGCACGTGAGCCTAGCTCAGCAAAACGCTTTTGTTTCTACGTAAACTCGTGCGTAGGAGCCACTTTCCAAAGCCACGCGCTCGTGCCCATGCCTTTCTCTGCACTGCTGATGTTGGCTTGTTAGAACAGCGTCCTGTGACTGGCAGAAAGAAAACAGTGCAAAGGGTGGGGCGCGCGAGCGTCTGGAGACGCGGTGTCCCGCTCGGCTCGTGCGCTGGCTTTGGCAGTGCTTTCTTTCACCGTCTCAGCTGAGACGCTGTTTCTAGCAAGTTGGCCCTGGTTTGGAGCGCACGTTCGTTTATTCTACGCTTGAATATTGGCGTGACGAAAACCTCGCACGCACAAAGTTTTCAGTCACTGAGAGTTACACCTTTTAACACTAGCGACGCTAAAACGGCTTGAATTAGTCGTGTCACAAATTTAGAGCTCACGACCACCGCTAGGGGCTGTTTCGCGGCCTGTGGTTGGCCCCGAGATGCTCGCCTATTCAAACCAATGTATGGCCAAACTCTCTCGATAAACGGCTCTGGAGTAGCGCAATCTAGTACGCCATCTCTCGGCGACTAGAGGCGAACGCCCGGGGGTTCCAACTCCGGTCAAACATGCATGAGGAACTTGAGAAAATCGTAGTTTCTTGGATATTTTGGGGATATACGGAACGACAATAGTTTTCGACATAATAAAGTCACAGTTTACAATAATTTTCGCTAAGCTGGAGCCATATAAAAGCTTTTTTTTATTATTATTATTGCCTGAGCCGCATTGTGCAGCAGACGAAGCGGTGACGTCACACCGTTCACGTGACCCGCTCGGGCGAACCCATGAAGTCCATCTCCGCTGCGTAAAACAATCGTCTACATCAAATGTCATTGCCTTAGAAATTGCCTTCTAAAAAATTCACACCCACCAAATATTAGGAAAACTTAGATATTGTGTTTAGTGCTTTACAAACTTCACGACCAGAGCCGGATTAAGGCATTTCGGGGCCCTGGGCTAAGGACGTTTCAGAAGCCCTAATGGTGATGATGATGGCGACGATGATGATGATGATAATGATGTCTGGTTAAGGCAATGAACCTTGGAAATACTGCAGTTTCCTTTATTTTTTAATCAAGAGAATGTACAGTCTATATTTTTCAGTGTCATCGACACATTGATTACAGCTCGCATTTGATTATCATCTAAGAGATAACTTGTTGCGTTTCGATTGTCAACCATGATCGCTCTGCCGAACGAAATGCAGAACAAAACCTTTCCCATCATAAACATATTTTATTCAAACAATCATGCTCGAAATGGAATGAAAGTGCAAAAAGGTACCGCAAATATACGAGTATCACAAAACCCATGCATGCTTCGCAAAAGGACTGTTTGAGGCAGCGAACAGTTTGCACATGAAACAATACACAGATCTATTGGACTGAAAGTACAAGAGCCAGTCTCGCTCAAATACCTCCCCGTTAGCGGTCTTCCTCACAAAAAGTTGACGAGACAGATATCGTTTCTGGCTCGTGTACTGTCTCTCTGAAGTGGGGTAATATTCCGATCGATTTTGAAAGTACTGTGGTCCTCTTTCGATACACGCGGTTTCGAATTTGTCAGGCACAGTATCAGGCCACTTACCTGGATCGCTTTCAACGCTGATGAATCCTACCTCGAGAGGTTTCGGAGAAATATCCACGCACTCGTCAGAATCGCTG